GAGAGGGTTGACATGTCGTGGGGTTGTTAACCAATGTCATAAAACAATATGTGTACTGACTGTTTAATGAGAAACTATTTGTTCTGTAAACCTTCATCTTAAGTACAATAAAAAGAAAAAAATAGAAACCTTTCTTATTTATTGACAAATGTGTGTTTGTTTTCAGATTTTTACTATTATGAATAAAGCTGTTACGAACATTTTGGTACAAATAATAAAAAAAAAAAAAGAAACCTTTCTTAATGCATATATAGTTTCAAAAGCCAAAATAGATTAGAAAAATTTCTATAGCCTCAAATTTAAAAATAAATGCTTAACAGTACTAAAAATACATTTTATCATTTTAAATTTTAAATAGTTACTTCAGAAAACTTAATTATAGGGTAAAAAAAGTCAACTCTGGTCAAAGTTTATAAAAAAATGCAAATAATCAAGGAAAATACATTTTACACAAAGCTAGAAAAGACAGCACAGGAATCTTAATCATTTCAATTCTCTTTCCCTTGCCGCTTCTCTTTTTCTACTCTCTTTATAGCAGACAGCTGGATTCAATACTAAGCCCATTTACTACTAAAGAACAGGTCATCTTGTCAATTAAATGGTATTTAAACCAATGCCCCCAAAACTGCCTAAAAACATGAAAGGCTCAAGAGGTAGGGCTGAAAGCATATGGGGCAGGACCTTCTACAAATAGGAATCCTAGATCGAGAAAGGACTTCTCCAGTATTTCTAAACAGCTAATAGTAAAAAGACAAAGTAAGATAAAACAAAAACACATAAATGTTTTAGCTAGTAAAACCACTTCTGTAATGGCTCTTAAAGATTCTTTTTAAACATAAGCCAAATCAATAAGGCATATTCTATTTTAGCATGATTGAAACTTCCAGAGTGAATTTTCAAAGAAAAAAACTTTACACTTAACCATAACATGTATCTGAATAAATTATAATTTATTAGTTTAAATCAAAAATTTTTGATTCCCAGATGTACAAATCACAGAATTCAGTTACTGAAATACTGTGTTAGGTTATAATAAGAAAGTATGATAGCTCTTAACAACTATTTAAAACAAAAATCATAATGAAATATTTTATGAAAAGCTAAAATCTAATACTTTAGTTTTATTGGTAAAACTAACGACTTTTGAACTACAACTACTTGTATATTTTCAGTATCTGTAAATTATTCATCTAAATATTTTCTAAACTTGTTTTGCAATATACTATAATATATGTTCTTATTTCTCTTGTGGTCCATTTTTATTATTCTTTGATTACTTAAAAAAAAGAAGAACTTACATCTTAGAATGTAAAGATTTAGAAGAATTAGGAGTCCTGGCAGTTTTAGACCTAAAGTATCAGTAACCTATAAGCAGTATTATCACATTTCAGGTTACATACATTATTTTCTCTGTCTTTCCAAAAATATTTAACATGGTCTGTTTAAGATTACTAAATGAGATATTCTATACCGGCTTGAGTAGATAAAGTTTTTAGTTTATAACTTAAATAAATCACCAATAATAAAAACAAGAATATAGCCTTTCAAAGAAAACTAAAGATTATAGAGCTGGATTTAGAAGTTAACTATTGTAGTCCCCATCTAATTGTTTATAGCAACCAAACAAAAAAAAAAAAAAACAAAACGGTTGCCATGGAGTCAATTTCAACTCATAGTGACCCTATAGGGCAGAGTATATCCGCCCCACACGAGCAGCTGGTGGATTCGAACTGCCGACCTTTTGGTTAGCAGCTGAGCTCTTAACCACTCTGCCACCAGGGCTCCGTTTATAGCAAAGGGATAATAAAAACCCAAAGCTAAAGTATTTCTTTCAATAAATGTGTCATTTACTATCACTGAAAATACTGGTCCACAGTCTTATGTGGTTATAGAAGTAGCCACAGTATAGGTTACAGCTGATAGTCTACAACTCAATTTTCTTAAATATAAGTTCATGCTGCTGAAGTCATGGTTTATCCTTTTCACAAGCCCAAATCGACTGTGGTGCAGAAGGGTCAGCCAGAGAACAGGAGACACACATTTACTATTTTATTAATTCCAAAGCAGGCCAGGTGACAACTCCCCAAATTCACTGGCCTCAAGTGGCAAGTACCTTTTTAACTGATAAGGAAGAATCTTTCTAAGAAAACATATGTAGGAGGTTAAATGCTCTGAAAAAGTTTTCAATTTCACAGTTGTTTCCTGGAAAAGAAAAACAATTTCAAGGTTAATAGTGTTATTTGACAAGGGGCAGCTCCTGCTTCCAGAAATAACAACATGAAGAACATTACCAGGACAGTCACAGTATCCTCAGTGATGCTTTCAAATAAATGAAGCATTCCTTCCTCAAGGGGGCGAACGTAGGACGCGTTTTCATGAAGGTATTGTGAGAACTGAATGGGAGTGAAGGGGTTGTGAGTCAGATCACAGGAAAATAACACCTGTCAACACACTAGTACCAGGGCCCACTGAGCTCTCAACCTCAATTGTTTCAGAAACTTTTTTGGATTTCTGAAACTCAAAGTGGAGATACTCCCCTCTAACAGTCCCAGACAGTATCCCAAGTCCCCATTATCCAAACCAGGAATAGGAAGAGGTGTGACACAGTGAACAACTGGACATTGGAGGAGACAAGGACACTGCCCTCCACACCAGCACCTCTCCAAATGCCTGCCTCTCCACAGGTGTCCCAGTTTAAAACAAAGAAAAAGACTGTCACAACTGTATGACACAGATTATTGGGTTTTGACCTCATTTTTAAAAACCAGCCCATTGAAGGCAGCTTATCTTTACTGTATACAATGCTCAGGATTAATAAACTCCAGGACGGTAATTATTATCAAAATGAGGATATAGGAGGGAAGGGTGGCACGTCTGTCCCTGGGGACAACAGAAGGCTCCTGCCCAGACCCCTCCCAAGCCCCTTCCTCCCGTGCATTTGTTCATTTATATCCTTTCTGCTTACAACGAATGGGTAACTGCAGAATAACTGAGATTCAAGTGGACCAAGAGCCAACCAGTTGCTGTCGAGTTGACTCTGACTCATGACAACCCCATGTGTGTCGGCGTAGAACTGTGCTCCTTAGGGTTTTCAATGGCTGATTTTTTGGAAGTAGATTGCCAAGCCTTTCTTCCGAGGTGCCTCTGGGTAGGCTTGAGCCTCCAACCTTTTGGTTAGCAGCTCTGAGCATGTTAACTGTTTACACCACCCAGGGACTCCAGACCAAGAGCACTGGCCACTTAATAAAACAAGACAACGCTGAGCAAGTAGGACCCTAAATGATGTTACTTAGAGCTTGAAACCATCTGACACCTTAAGAAAATGTAAGATTTGCTTTAGTTCAGAGCTTGTTTCTCCAAGATTCCTCAGCTGAGTTGATACCTAGTACTATGAAACCCCTTTCTCATAGAGTAATTTTGTGATTTTTTTTTTTAATTAAGTCTAGCTAGTCAATAAATCTATGAAAAAGATGTTCAACCTATCTGCATGAAACAGGTAAATCAAACCAATGAAGAGTCTGAACTACTAAGAAAAAAATGGGGATATAAAAAATTGTATAACTGTCACTGATACCTTAGTATTTATAAAGGGCTAATTCAGTAAGAAAAATATATTCAGAAAAAGGTCCTAAGGCACTGAGGCAATCTGGAGGCAAAAAGGCGCCTTTCATTGATGAAGTATCTTAATTATCTAAGCATATAATGGCTCAAATTCGACTTCTCAGTACAGATACGTAAGGTCTCATTTTGCAGAAATGTGATTCAACTGGCTCTGCTGAACACTACATAGATACAGGGCCCCGGGCAAGTCAGCCTGTCTGGGCTTCAATCTTTCCAGCTACAAAATAAGACGAGCTCTAAGTTTAGAGTTCTAAAAGTCTATTTTATGATTTTATGAACGAGTCTATACGCATTCTGTTCATCTCTTAAGAAATAGTTACTTATTCTCTTTCAACATTATTGACTTGTTAGAAAAATCACATAGGGCCCTTCTTTCATAGGCCAAACCACTTCTCAAAAAGCAAAATATGGAGAAATGTATGAAATCTTCAAAGTAAATGAAGTATTTCTGACAAGTAAAGATTAACATATTTGATTCTCACCATGTGGGCAAAATGTGCCAACAAGCTAAAATAAAATTCTAATCATGAACAAAGAACCAGTATTTGGAAAAAAGTTAACTATAGTATACAGGTTTTTTGTTTTTGTTTTTTAAACACCCCTTATGATGAAAGCTATACAGTGAGTACAAATAGAGAGAAAAATGCCAGCAAATTAACCCTCCTAACAATAAAATCAGGTCCCCGGGTGGCACAAACAGTTTGCTCTCATCTATTAATCTAAAGGTTAGCGGTTCAAACCCACCCAGCAGTGCCACGGAAGAGAGGCCTGGCAACCTGTTTCCATCGAGATTACAGCCAAGAAAACCCTATGGAGCTGTTCTACTCTGTAACAGATGGGGTTTCCATGAGTTGGACTGACTTGACAACAATGGGAAATAATAAAATGCCACTTTTCATTATGTCACACCCCTGGTCATAAACTACAAAGGCCTCAATCCTATTTACAAACAGGTCTCCACCATGGCCTGCCCTGAGGGGCCTTCCAGAACTATTTTCTCTTTTCAGCCTCACACCCACTCCTCCCTTTGGTAACTTCAGACACCAGCCAAGACAGTCAGCTCACTAGTCCCCTTTCCCTTTTCTAGGGGTAAGAAACCCTCCCCTCCTATTCAAATCTTGCTCATTCTTCAAGGCCCATCTCAAATCCCCAAAGAGTCTTTCCAGACACCACCATAGACAGCAATCGCCCCGCTCTCCTGACGACCTCACGCCGCTTACTGCACACCACTCATTCACACTAAGGCCTTCTAACAACTCCCCGGTATTTAATTTCTTAAGAACTTCCATTTTTGCCTCATTTTGTCTTGAGGGTAAAAATCATGACACATATAGCCTTCCAGGTCCTCCATGGCACCTGGCCAAAGGTCTCACACACACAGGTAACTACGAATTTGCTGATGCACAGAAGTGGCCAGAAATAAATAACGTTTCCCTCTTTACTCAGGGCAAACCAAAGGTATTCTGAGTTAACCTTACCTTCTGATTCAATGGAGATATAGTGTCAATGGCAGAATCAACAGGAAAAATCTGAATCCTCTGTTCTGTATAGGTGTGAAAGTTCAGAAGGGCTGTCACGAGATCTTGAACAAAAGCCAGAGCCTGCCCAGCAACGTCCCGCATCTTCAGCTTTAAAATTAAAAAGCATACAGTAAAGTCAACCATCAAACTGTTTCTCTAAAACACCTCTATTAAGCCTGCTTCTGGAGAAAACACTTAAACTCTACTGTAATTACACCCACTCCTCACTTACCGACATGGTTAGGTTCCAAAGACCAGGTCGTTAAGTGAAAATTGGCATTGTGCAAAAACGGAGGATGACCATGTCAGATCACAAAATGGAGGATGACTACATCACTACATAACTGCCAAATCACATCATTACATAACTGCCAAACCACTGAAAATCATGGCCCAGCCAAGTTGACACATAACCTTAGCCATCACAGCCAGCGTTACTCTCACCTCCCACCTCGGCAATCATTACTGCCAGACATATGTTGTTAATGTGCAAAATAGTCAGATAGTAGATTTTTTACTACTGTCATAAATGCAAAATGTCAGATAACAAGAAAGTCGGTAAGTGAGGAGTAGATGTATTCCTTAATTTAAATTCATTTCCTTCCATGGAAATTTTAATATTCCTAGCTAAGGTTAATAGTTGAATTATGTACCTCAAATATATATGTTGAAATCCTAAACCCTGTACCTGTAAGCCTGACCCTGTTTGAAAATAGTTTTCTTTTATTACATTAATGAGGTCATACCAGAGTAGGGTGGGTCCTAAACCTAATCACTTCAGAGTTACAAAAAGAGCAGGATAGACACAGAGACACACATAGGGGGAAGACAGATGACAAGAAACATCAAGGAATTCTAAAGAACACCAAGGATCACCGGCAGACACCAGGAATTAAGAGAAAGGCTCACAGAAGGACTCAACATGGCTAAAGCCCTGATTTGAACTTTCAGAATCCAGAACTGTGAGAAAATGATTTTCTGTTCTTTAAAGCCACCCACTTGTGGTATTTCTGTTACGGCAGCACTGGATAACTAAGACACTAAGTAATTAGAAAGCCACCAGTTTTGGCAAATACATCTCCTCCATTTAATCTAGTCCATTTATTAAGTGCAAGGTCTACCAACCTAGAATACTGTATTTTTACGCAAGTAACATGCACCTTCTAGGTTTGTTTGCCAACTATACCCTCCCCCTCCTGCAAGGTATTTTTGTAAGTGCACTATACTTATTTTTTTTTTTTTTAACAGTAACATAAAAAATAAATTGGCATAGTGGTGCTTCCGAAAATACCTCGTGGTGGGGAGGGCACAGTTGGCAAACACAGAAGGTGTGCATTATTTGCATAAAAATAGTGTGTAAATGTATGGCTCAAAAACTTAGCACATATCAAACTTTAGTTCAAATGTTATAAGACAAGAGAGAGACAAAAAACCAGGGTTATTTATGAATTCCATAAACAGCAAGTTACACATTTGAAAAAAAATATATCAGAGAGTAAAGCAACAGTGAAACATAATGATTTAGTGCGTTAAACAGAGGCTCAACCAACTAATTCTCTAGTTGTCTCTGAAAAGCTTGCCATACACATCGCTGAAAATAAAAGCACACGTTTAATCCTTTACCTGATGTCTCCTATTGTGGAGTGGAACGTTCAGTGCATTATATTGACTATATTCTACAAAACAAAAATGGATGTACATTTAAGTCTCTCGTTTTATGCGAAGCATCAGAAAAACAGCTTAACTGCAAAATAATGAATGCTTTGCGGCAAAATCGTGCATACGTAAGAATTTAAAATGACCAAAGCCACAATCACATCACAGGAGAATAACAGAATTGACACAGAATCAGTGGTTGCTCGGATAAAGTAACATTTCTAATTTTTTATACCTTCAGGTTAAAAAAGATCCAAACAAACTCATGTCTAAGAAATCATTTCAAATTCTTCCTTGGGGCCTATCAAGATTACTTAGAAAGGCTCATGACGTTCTTGCTGTCTCTAGCCAACTCCCATCTAAAGTAACTGCACGTGGCTGTCACTGCTCATCCCAAACATCACTGTTTTCATGACACTCCGATGTTACATCTACCGCCGTCTGCTGGTATTGATCCCAACCACGCAATCCTAACTTTTGTGGGATAGTTTCAACTCCTTCCCCACTACCCTCCTCTTTACCCTAGACCCTGTCGTCAACCTCTGATAGCTTTCCGACACCTGGCCTCATGCTTCCTCGACCTCCTCTACTTACTGCTTCAGCCACTCAAAACTACCTCTTCTGCCTGTGTCCTAAGTCAGAACGACCCCAGTACCAAAATGTTAGATTCTGAGAGTCCTCGTGCCATTCTCATCTAATTCTCTCGTAAGTCCCCATTTCCACCAAATCGGCTGGGTATTCCCAGCTTGGCCTCCTGTCCATCATCACCTCTCTGTTCTCCTACCAGCCCTCTCTGAGCCTCGCTTGGCTTCCTTCCCAGCCTGTTCCATCATTTCTACAATGCTTTTGTTAACACAAGACCAGAGTAGGGTCCACTGCAATATAGTCCACTAAACTTAAGGGGGCCTTCAGCGCTGCTCAGCGAATATGATCCTACTGCTGCCTCCCTATCACATGTCCCATGACATCTACTCCAGCCCTTTTCTGTGTTACGTCCCTAACGTTATTCTTTCTCCCTGGCCATCCCATGGATGGGAGGGCCTCACCACTACTTTGCCAAGAAGACCAGAGACAAAGTACAAGGGGTCTTACACTCCCCACCCTCCAATCTCAGAGTCTACAGCTTCTTCTTCCCATTTCTTTCCTCACCTAACCCTCCTTCTAGGCCTTAGGACAGCCCTCCCCACCCCTCAGGGAACTAGCCCATCAATCAGGCCTTCTTACATCTTCAGCATCACCTCATTACAAAAAAGGCATCTGCTGCAGCTTGTTTAACGCTATCAACACAGTGACTTCTTCCACTTGCCTTATTATTACTTATTAATTCTCTGCCCTCTCCCCCTCCCTGCATGCACACAACCTGTTCTTCTACTGTGCTAGTCTGTTGAGTTCTCAACCCTTCTTATTTCCTTCACCCCCTAAACCCAAACCAAACCACACCCATTGCCGTCGAGTTGATTCCAACTCCTAGTGACCCTATAGGACAGAGTAGAACTGCCCTGTAGGGTTTTCAAGGCTGTAATCTTTAGGGAAGCAGATTGCCACATCTTTCTCCCACAGAGTGGCTGGTGGGTTCAAACCACCAAGCTTTCACTTAGCAGCTGAATGCTTAAGCACTGCACCACCATTAGCTCCAAAGAGGGCAGAAAATATCATAATTCTGCCATTTTTCAGATGGGGACACAGAGGCTGAGCCGCCCAAACACGTAAAACCACTGCACCACCAGGGCTTCTCTTCACCCCCTACTGCTCAGAAAACAGCACTGCTCAGTCTGTCTGCTCAGCGTCCATTCACTCCTAACCCTTGTGCTAGCCATCCGGGGTCCACTCCACCAGGCACAAAGCACTTCTCCCAAAGGCCATCGGTCCTCTCGAAGTCGCCAAGCCCAGCTGCCTCTCCCCTCATCCCCCTCTCTGAGCTCTCCATAGCAGTGCACACAGCTGACTGGTGCCACTAGCTGGAAAGACTCCCTTCTCAGCTTCCGTCTCACCCCATTTCCCCAGCTTCTCTCCACTTCAGCCTCTGACCACCGAGATGGAGAATTCACCAAGGACCCCTGCACAGACCTCTCTGTGCTCTAAGCCCCTAACCCACCATTCCCAATACACGGGCTCATCCATTCCACTGAGGTCAATGTCAGTTTATCTCCAAAGGTCTAGCTCCTTACGTAAAAATGCAGGTTAAACATATACGCCAATCCATCTGTCAGAATATTAAACAACAACAAAGTTAACCTCATCATCTTTCCCATAAACCCACTCCTCGCCTACCAGACTCTTTGATTTCTGTCAACTGTACCACCATCTTCCCATCATACTGCCTCCTCCCTGTCCCTGGGCCCTCATACCCAGCCAAGGACCAAGCTGTTCTCTTTCCTCAATACTTTCCGTGTCTCTCCAGACAACCCAGGCTCAGGGCTCCGTTACAGCACACCAGAACTATTACCACGGGCGTCTCAGCCCCTTTCTCCCACTCCAGTGTTGTTTACGCTCGGTTGCCAGGTTAACTTCTGAGCACATAAATTTCATCGTGACATCCTCTGACTCAAAACCTCTCCAACAACCTCACTGCCTTATGATTTAAATCCCAAGTCCTTAGTCCAGAACTCTATAGTCTCCTCCCACCCTCCTTTCCAAACTTGGCCTGTCATTGCCCTCCACATCTCCACCCACCCTAGTCTCCTGTCATGCAGGACTAATCGCTGTGCCCTAGACCAAGACAGCACCTTTCATCCTACACACGATGCTCCATGCAATTCCGTTTCATCCTCCCTCAGCTCTGCCCAATAAAACCTACTACATCTATCCAGGCCTGGCTTAAAGCACGCTTCTTCCAGGAAGGCCTCCCCAAACAACCCCACCAGCAGTAATTTCTCCTTCCTTTGGAGGCCCAAGAGGTTCTCTAAGGCACAGTCTAGCTTACATTTTAGACATTTCTATATCCTACCTCTCCCATACTGGACTATTAGCTCCTGAAGGAAGGGATTTTTATCTTATAATCTTTCACACCCCCTATGCTACCTACCAGGTCCCTGGGTGGCAAAAACCATTTGCGCTCGTCTACTAACCAAAAGGTTGGCAGTTCGAACCCACCTAGAGGTGATCTACTTCCATAAAGATTACAGCCAAGAAAACCCTATGGAGCAGTTCTACTCTGTAACACATGGGGTCACCATGAGTCAGAATCAACTTAACAACAATGGATGTGGTTTTTGGCTTATGCTACTGGCCCATCTGAGCACTCAGCAAATGATCCCTAAATATTTCCTGACTCAAAGTACTAACCTGTGTGCGAGGTGATTAGGACCTAAAATAAGCTAACAACTAGCATTAGAAAAAGAAGAAGAAATTCAACAGATCAGAAGAAAATTGTAGACCCTGACGACTGATACCAGGATTAAAGGGAAAAATGAAACGCTGAGGTTTTAAGTCCAGTGGGTCAGAGCATGCTGGTGTTACTCAGATTAATACAAATGCTGGAAACAGGCATTTTCAAAGAGGAACTTAGAATTTTGATGTAATAATGACATCCTGATTTCGGTGTCAAATTAAGCTGCTGTTTTTCTTTGGTTTCTTTTCTTTCCTCTTTTTTTAGATCCTCCCTAAGAAAACTTCAGGGGAAATAAAAATCAATCTCAATCATGTTATTGTAGAAAAAGGAAACATGTATCAATTTGAATACAAACTGATTCAACATCCAAACAAATTCTTCTCCGCTTTCAAGGTTTTGATTTAATTATTGTCTAGAGATCACGTATTTGCCACTATCGCACATGTAAACTGATTTTTTTTTTTTAAAGGTTTTTGTTGTTGTTGATGCTCTTGGGTGTGTAGACTACCAGCCAGGCCACTCCCAGGGTGAACAGGAAACAAAGCTTGCCCAAGTCAGTCTCCTAACTGTCACTCGGAATCAGACATAATCAAAGGGCAGGAGGTAGTTTGCTAAGTAGTGTCCAGGGTCTCTACAAGCAGCCATCTAAGATACAACTATTGGTTTCTACTCCTCCGGAGCTAAAGAGAAAGAAGGAAACCAAAGACTCAGAGAAGAAACCAGTCTACAGAACCAATAGTCTACACGAACAATGACATCACCTACCTTGAGACCAGAAGAACTAGACGGTACCCAACTACCACTACTGACTGTTCTGACCAGGGACTCAATAGGTGGTCCCAGGTAGAATGAGAGAAAAACATAGAACAAAACTCAAATTCCTAAAAAAGGCCAGATTTACTGGAGAAGTAGAGACTTGATGAGCCCTCGAGGCTATCATCCTGAGATACTCTTTAAACTTGGGACTCAAACTACTCCCAGACGTCACCTTTCAGCCAAATGACAGATTGGCCCATAAAATAAATAATATTACCCAGGAGTACTGTGCTCCTCAAAATAATCATCTAGGTGAAACCAAATGGTTAACGTTTACCCTACACCAAAGATGAGAAGGCAAGGGGGGCTAGGGAAGCTAGATTAATGGAAATAGAACAACCAAAATGGAAATAACAAGAATGCTGATATATTGTGAAGAATGTAACCAATGTCACTGAACAATATGTATAAAAATTGTCAAATGACAGCCTAATTTCCTGTGTAAACTTTTACCAAAAACACAATAAAATATTTTTAAAAAAGGGGGCAGGAGGCTCAAGAAACCAGCCTGAAAAGATCCCGCTCCCCCACCAACACCACCAGGAGCAAAATCTTTTCCTGTACAAACATTTGGGTACCTCATGTGCAGGCTGGTTTTTACCTTTGGGACATGCTAAATCCATGCAATAAAAAAAATAAGGATTTGGGCTTCCTCCAAGAAAACTGGCTTTGGAATAGTTATATGTTAATCTGAAATCTCCCCTGTGAAATATGAGGACCAAAGCTCATCAAAAGAACAAAAAGAAGGTAACCCTCTGTTGTGCCAACTAAGTTTTTTTGCCAAATAGATTAGAAATTATTAGTTGACTACCACACATTGGGAGGTTCAAAGTTGCAAATAAGGAAAAAGTGTACATAGTACCTACTTGTATCATTAAAAGGTACTTTTTCATTGATGATTGATAAGGACTCCTCTAATCTACCTGACAAATCTTCATGAAGATTCTTTAACTGCAATTGACTGCAAGAAAAAAATACAAAACCATATTATCACCAATTAGACAGTGAATCCTCATTTGCTTGTCACCTCAACAGCTGATACTGGGCTTCAGGGAATCGTGCCTTACCTCTGGGATACTTCCGGTGGAGAATTGTTAATAGATAAAGACAAGAAAAATACTAAGCCTCGATTCTAAAACCCCAGGACTTGTGCTGAATGATGTGGAAGTTTGGAAGAATTTATCACAGTCTCAGTTATCTTATCAACCGTAAGTTTATTTCCCCAAACTCAAAGTAATTTTAGAGCCATTTTAAAATCCTAAATTTTCTCCTTACAACACGTGTTTATTCAAGTATTACTGCAAAGTTTTCGTTTTTAAAAATATTATGTCAGATCTTTTTTCCCTGAGCTCAAAGAAAATAAACTGATGTTTTTTTCTGATTTTAATTCAATTATGAGAATAGGTATATATCTGAATCACGTATGTAATTCTGCCAATGCAAGTAAATTGAAATAAATACTTTGAGTTGATCCTATTAAAACCTAAAGTGTTATGTTATTTATCAAGTAAATTTAACTCTGAACCATAAGTAATATTTTAATTTTTAAGATTTAGATATTTCTAAATTATATCATATAACGTCTATTTAATTCAAAATATATATAGAAAGGTTTGCACTGTGATTATTAGTGAGTTTTCCTGCCTGGGACTATCAGAGGGCATTAGATGGTTTGAAGTAGAAGCACCCAGTCCCCAGTCCGGAGTCCCAGAAAGCTATCTGCCATAACCCAGAACATCTGCAGGCTATGGGCTAGGGCACAAACCACTCTATCAAGAATGCTTAAGAGCCCAAAGCTCACAAAACTGAAATGAACCCTGGAAATGATCTACTCCCAACTCCTCATTTCAAATGTGAAAAATTAGGATAGGAGCTGCTACAGCCAAAACTCAGGTCTTCTGATTCTTACTTCAGGCCCCCTTAGAATTCATATTTCCGCATACCATTCTTCTGTTCGAAGTCGACACTCCTTGGCCTCCTTTTCTAGGGCCTGAGATTTTACCTGAATTTTAGAAGGGAAAAAAAAAAGCAGATGACTCAGATTACAGATGGCCCGGCAACAGTCTCGCCCTGAGTGACTAACTTGTGGTCTATAAAGTGCGCAGACAATTTACAGCAGCTCTCACAGAGAGGGGGGCTCACTTCTAGTTTAGCCTTCTCGCTCTGCAGTTTCTCAATGGTTTCCATGTACTTCCGTGTCAGGCCGTCGACCACTGCTTGGTGCTGGGTGGCCTCCATCTCCAGCGCGGCCAGCTGGTTCCTCAGCTCTGCCTCCACATGCTTGTGCTGCTCGTCGGCTTCAAAAAACTGAAAGGAAAAGACCATTTCTCTTCTCGTAATATCCTCATCCGTACAAGCAAAAAGGAAAAGAACAACAGCAAATATTCACCGAGGAACTTCCATATGACTCCATACGCTCACTATACTCACTGGGTCCTCAGAGTAGTCCTATTATCAACCCCCTCTACAGATGTGGAAACTGAGGCTTAGTGGGGTCCCATGACTTGCCTAGTGCCTCACAGCTAGAATAAAGTAGAAATGATCTGAACACAGGAAACCTACTCAGAGCCTCCTTCCTCCCACTCTCATGAATTTCTCTTTCAAACAATTTCTGGCACACTGAGAATTTACCTGGTCAGGGTATAACTTTCCTACCAGGCTAACAGCCACGATTAGATAATCCAAATTAGAATAAATGCTACTGCTAGAACAGGTAAACCTTGTCCCTTCAGTGAGAGTCCTTTTACTATTGAAGAATACATGTAGACACAAAAGGCACTGAGGTCAAAAGTTCATTTTTTAACATTTTCAAAGACTGAGAATTAGTACGTATTTATTTTGCCATTTGATTATGGCCAAAAAAAAAAAAAATCAGGAACTATATTTGGATATATTACACTATGAATCTTACAATATACTGAGTAGTCTGGGGACTGTTCCTCAACATTCCACAAATATCTGAGTGCCAGCTGGCAGAAGGCCTTGTGCTGAGCTGGGCGTACAAAATTAACATGGCCCATACCCTCACAGACCTCACAGCTAACAGAGAAAAAGATAGAAAGCCAACTGAATATCACTAAATTAAAAAGCTAACACTACTTATGGGTAAACTGCCCCCATCTAAATGATCCAGCCAATCATTTCCTACATAAAATGAATAGTTCCCATATACTTCTATTGTTAAGCATAAACTCACTCTCCTGTCCTCTGAACAAATGTATACTTCAAAGCCCACATCCACATGAAGATGTATATGAGATCTGAGAAATGAATAAATGACGTGACATCTACACCTAAGACCGAAGGAGACATTAAAACACCCACACAAACACACAACATTCTATCTGCATTGGTTTTTCGACATTCTATGTCATACAACCCATTTTTTAATTTATCAGAAAAAACGGAAGATTTACTTACTTGTATATGCAACCTTTCGTTCTCTTCTATCTTCTTCTGTAGATCTTCATCAAAGACACTCTTCTGCTCTTGACTCAACTGAGAGGAAGATTCTCCACTTTTCTGATGGAAAGAATAAGTTATGTCCACATAACTTTCATCCTTTAGAGAAACATCCTACGGTACACAGATTGGCTACCACCTTAGTAGCTTGTCTCTTCTACGTGTTCACCATTCTCAAAAAATCCTGCAAAAGGTATACAGTCCATCATTTAACTTTTCCTATGTGAGACAAGTCGGAACTGCAAATATTGCAATGGACAGGAAAGCTTTAAAAAGAGAGACAGAGAGGAAAGAACAGGGAAGGCTCACTCTTCTCTGTAGATGAATTCAGTAGCAGCTCTAGGGGAGGACGCAGCAGACCCAGAAAGCTAGCCAAACCAATACGTAAGGAATATCATTTCCATTTGATCTTTTGGTTTGGCAAATGACAGTTTTATCAATTCCGTGCGTCTGAGTCATTAAATTAAACCCCATTAAGAAATTTTAAAAGATTGTTTAACAGCATTCACAAATATAAGTGTATCCAAAAGTTTACATAAATTTCTATTTTTTTAAAAAAGCATAACCATATAAAATAAAGCCATTATAAATAAGCAGAAAAGCCCCAAAATTATGAAAACTATCTCCCTTTTGCTTTTTTATTAACATTTTCGAGCGAGAAGAATAGCACTATCTAAAAGACGCAATAATGAACATTTGTTTTCATGTACTATGTAGAACTGAGACTATTCAAGAGACAGGTTAACAATGAAACTGTTCACACATCAGTCACCACCCTTCTCTGCCTTTCTCATACCCTCACGCCTCCCTTCAAGTCACCAGCTGAGCTAAAATGATCCAATATGAACCAAAAATTGTAAAACCCTTTGAAAATGGAGCAGCTATCAAAAAAAAAAAAATTAAATATTCATCATGTCCAGAACCCAAGAGGTGCTTAAGGAATGCTGCTGAATGACATATTCTGGTTCCGCAGCTCTTTCAAATTTGAAAAGCTTCAGTTAAAATTCATTCAGAAGTCTTATACCCAAACCTATGCTAAAACAGTCCTGGGAGAAGACCTTAATAATCTGGGGGCACTGTTGAAGTATAGGTGGCTGTTCCCTCCCCAGGGTCTTTCAGAATTTCCAGAGCACGTGTACCGTACTTTTACGCAAATAACACATGCATTATACACTTCTTTGCCAACCACGCAACCACTTCGCGCATTATCTTCCTAGGTGTGCTATGCACATTATATGTGTGGGCGCGTTATTTATGTGGCTGCATTATTTGTGAAAAATCCGGTATTTTGGGAAAGTTTCCCAAGCTATTCTAGTATGTATCTGTTTTGTCTTCTCTGTTCCCCCTTTATTTAGAAACTGCTGATCTAGAGAAATCTTCCATGTAAAAGAAATGAATACGGGAAAGTTACTGACGTACAATTATGGTGAATGCCCATTATGTAGCAAATACAGTCAGGGCAAAAATACCAAATTGTCCTCATAAGAATACACACTTAGAATACGAATCTGCTATGGATTTATATAAACCTAAGGTATCAGTGTTTCAACTGCTACCTTCACATCATATGAACAGCAGTTACAACTTGACAGTGTTTCTCATTTTATTCATCCTACTTTGTGTTAATGGCAACTTTGTACAGCTGAAAGGTAGCAACAATTTTGACCAATATGAGATTCCCATCTACTTTTCTCAGCCACTTAACCATATACACGTTTGGCCCTAACAAATTCTTTAAAACTTAATTTCATATAAAATGTCTCCATACTTAGTTAATACTAATGGTAAATGCCTCCTTTCTTGAACCAATATCCAGGTGTAATATTTGGGGTTAAGTTGAAAGAAACTTAAAAAAAGAATTTTGGAGTGCGATCTTCTGTTAAAACAAGGATGGCCTGTAGACTTCTGTACTTAATGACAAGCTCACACTAATTTGCTTTTATTTGAATCTACCTTGTTTTTCTTGCCTCAGGGTTCACTTAGAGCCAGTTCATCTTGAAGCAGTTCTACCCTCTTGGCAAGCTGCAGATTTCGAAATGTCAGACTGTCCATTTCCTGTTGGAGTTTTCTCAACGACTGATCCTTCATTTTTAGTTGTTCCTGTATCAAAGTGGTAAGAGACCACTCCTCACAATTTAGCCTTAAGATTTAGAAATAACACACACAAAAAAAAAACCTTTTTTCATTTCATCAAAACATAATCAAGACCACCTGCTTTAGGGAATTCATGTATGTTTATCATTCCAGTTCTTACATTTGTAGCTGTTTGGTGGCAAAATTATTTTTTGGCCAAAGTAAATTAAAAAATAAAACAAAAACTGCAAGGAGACTAAACTTACAGATGGTCATCAAGTCACAGTAAAATATCCGCAACCTTATGATGTCAAACCGATGAGAATCAACGGACACAAAGCTTGAGGAGAGAAATGTATAAACTTGAATTTTTAAAGAGAACCTCAGGCTCGCTGATGGCACCCATCAGTGAGCAAGAACGGAAAGAAATATATTTGTACTCTTTTCTTCCTATAAATCCTCCCTGAATTTAAATCCATTAAAATAAAGTCTTTCAACACACGTAAATTTACTTTAACTAGTCTGATAGTCAAAGACAAAAATCTATGTTATTTGTAACACAAAAATATTTTCAGATGCTGTTCCATATCGATTCACTTCAAAACTAAATGAAAATAGAAACAAAATCTAAGATCTAAACAACACACCTTCTGCTGACCATTCTGTACTCTGTTTATATCATAATGGGGTAAGAAAATGGGAAACTAAAGAGAAATATTTAGTTTCACCTTATTCTTAAAAAAAAAATTATTCTAACTGTATTTTACTTATAATGTTCTGAAAAGCTTTGCATTCACTGATAATCAAACACAGATGGCTAATTTCAATGAAAAGGGCTTAGACTTTTAAAATCTGTTGTTGCACTTAGTTGTTGAATTGATTCTGACTCATGGCGACCCCATGTATGCAGAGTAGAACTGTGCTCCATAGGATTTTCATGGCTGTGATCTTTCGGAAGCAGATCACCAGGCCTGTCTTCTGAGGTGCCTCTGGGTGGGTAGTAGTTGAGTGCTTAACCATATGCGACACCCAGGGACTCCTTCTTGAAATCTACTGTATATTTAAAAAACTGTACTTCTATTACTGTGACTGAAACAATTGTTACGCTAAAAAGGGGTCAAGTTTTAATGAACAGGCGATCAGTATATAGAAATAGCGACCTAAAAACCACAGGCTGGTGCCTGCAATCTTCTGACATCAGTTGCATATGAAAAGCAGGGCTTAGAGGGCTAAAACAATAATACTCCCATTAAATAGATAAGTATTTTCCTTTTCTATTGCTTGTTTACTAAGCCCTTAATTTTTACTGGAAGTTCAAAGGTAAACACAGGCCCAGCCCATGTACAAATAATCATACATTTGACCCAATATCCAGGTGTAATATTTGGGGTTAAGTTGAAAGAAACTTGAAAACAGAATTTTGGAGTGCGATCTTCTGTTAAAACAAGGATGGCCTGTAGACTTCTGTACTTAATGACAAGCTCACACTAATTTGCTTTTATTTGAATCTACCTTGTTTTTCTTGCCTCCGGGTTCACTTAGAGCCAGTTCATCTTGAAGCAGTGGGTTTGGTTTTGGATGGGTTATAGCCAATAACTACCCCAATAAAATCAAAAGCCTGCTGTAAGAGAGAACATCCTAACATTCCCTTCTAACCAAATGGTACAGTCATCAGCACTGTAATCATAATGACCGCTACAATGAATAGTGAAACAAAAATTTCTTTATATCTTTCTAATTAATTAATCACTCCAGTAGCCAATGATTAATTTCAGAAGGCATCCATCACCACGTCTCTCTCAACCCCCATTTCTGCCATGGGGATAATAATGTTATCTACCCTCACAGAGGTGAAGACAAAATGAGGTAACGGATGTAGTGTACTTAGCACAACGCCTGCCCGTGGTGACTGCTCAAAAGATGGAACCTGCTGTCACCATGTCTGCTGCTTCGGTCATCACCATCATCGCTGCCATCACAGGGTTCATCAAACACAGCCAGCACGGGAGGGTGTCAAACACCACAGGCTACTAAGACAAGCTTGGAAATAACTGTCCTCAGTAATAGGTTTAAACATCCTGAGGAGAAATAACGCTCATTTCTTCAATGATTCAGGTAAAATAATCTTGGCCTGGGTGCAGAGAGGGTAGGGAGGGCTGAACCACCTCATCCCTGAGTCTGTGGTAACAGTGCCTGAGGACGGGGCACTCTCAGAGACAGACTTCTCTTGTGGAGGGTCCTACGCTGGCTAAGTAGGGAGCATATTCCTGAGTCCGGGTTACCTGAGTGACCCCACCTGGGAAATATCACTGGTTGGGGCCACCCCTGAAAGAGACAAGAGTAAAGGGAATCCTAATTACTTGTGTCTAAAGGAGAGAGTGAAGGGAACAAGGGAGAGAGCAAAACAGTGAGGTAAGCAGAAGAGTTAACCGAAATATGGCCAAGAAGGAATCCATATCCTAGAATTAAGTAATCCATTTAAAAAATCTCTTAGGCAATATTTATTACATGCCTACTAGAATGAAGTAGTAATAAATTCCTTCGTCCCGTATCATATTTCCTTGCTCAGTTAACAAAGGTGCTGATGGTGAAATGTATCACTCACGTGAAGTGTCCTGATTTAACAGAGATTATTACCATTAAATAGCTGAACCCACAGGCAAGATGAGTGGATTCATTCAAAATGACTCAAAAATGTAGGGGTCTACTATGTGCTAAGTGGCACAGTGGTTGAGCGCTCTACTGCTAACCAAAAGTCAGTGGGTTTGAGCCCACCAGCCATTCCACAGGAGAAAAATGTGGTAGTCTGCTCCCATAAAGATTTACAGCCTTGGAAATCCTACGAGGCAGCTCAACTCTGAGTTGGAATAGCTATGAGTCAGAATCGACTTGATGGCAAAGGGTTTGGGTTTTTAGGACTATATGCTAAGTGCGGGTGATATAAATATGACTATGAGTAGGAATCAACTCAATGGCAATGGGGTTGGTTTTTTGGTTTTATGACACAGCCGCCCTCAGAGAGCTCCATCTAGTGATGAAGACACATAAACCCAACCAAAACCAAACCCACTGCCATCGAGCCAATTCCAACTCCTAGCGACCCTACAGGACAGAGTAGAACTGCCCCACAGGGTTTCCAAGGAGGGGCTGGTGGACTCAAACTGTCGACCTTTTGGTTTGTAGTGGAGCTCTTAACCACTGCGCCACCAGGGCTCCAAGACAGATAAGAAGCCCCATTAATCCAGATGAAGTTACCTAAATAAAGACCTTGAGGTGCAGGAGAAATGCATCACATGAAGTCAAATAATACTTTTTTGAGTAATTTTAGCTAAGGAGATCAAAGCACATGACATTCATGCCTAAGCAACTAGGAATATTAAACAAACATAAAAACTGTATTACCTTCTACTGTCCTTAGCGAGTAAGTGTCAGAGTTGGGACTTTGACCCAGAAAACTGGCTGAATTCCCTGTGCGGCACATCACCACACATGAACTTAGCCCTCACGACACAAATACCCTGTTGCATACCTTTAAAGCAGCAGAATTTGCTTGTTCATCCACAACACCTTTTTTCAGGACCTGATTCTGAGCCCGAAGCTGAAACACAGCAAGCAGGAATTCAGTTTTAAATATAAAGCAATCACTTGAAAGGAAATCAATTCCCATTCCTCTACAAGAATTATTACACCGAGTAACTAAATATCTTCTCACACATACATCAGAATTAAAAATATATATATCAGCTCCAAAGAGGGCAGTAAATGTCGTAACTCTGCCATTTTTCAGACAGGGACACAGAGGCTAAGCTGCCCAAAGACATAAAACTAATCAACGACTAGCCCATCGTTCTTTCTGTGAAGCCAAGTCACCTCCCTAAATGAAAACTAGTACAAATAGTGAAGTACTGACCGTACCATTTTCCTTGAAATTCTGGCACACCATTCATTTGTAAAATACAAACAACTGGACAAATTATGGAATAAGAACTGTTGATAAAATGAAATGTGGGGCATCAACATGCCTAGTGGGATACTGTGCCTAATATTAGACGTGCAAATGCCATCAGTGAGAGTGGCCTCAGGGATGGCAGGCGTGTCATCAGGCATCAGCTAATAGAGTATATAAACACAAGTAAGAAGCTGGCTCAACTTAGAAATTAGTAATAATAGCAGCTTACATGTGAACGTGCATTAGGTAGTAGGCACCATCTTAAGAGCTTTACATATGTATTACCTCACCTAATCCTCACAACTCTGTGAGGTAAGTACTATAGTTATCAACGTTTTACAGATGAGGAAACTGAGGCCCAGACAAGTTAAGTGACAATGCTGAGATTCAGACTCAGCAGTCTAGAATTAAGTCACAATGCCAATTAGTGCATATTGGTTACTATTTTACAAAGTTAGGTTGAAGCGATAAAAGCAATGGGGAGAAGTGGAGGAAGTCTCTGGAGAAGAAGTAGGACTTGGGCTTTTTTTTGTTCCATAGTTTTTTAATTGAGATAAAACTTAAATAAAGTATAGAAATCAAAATTATACATCTTGATGACTTGTTTCTTATGTATACACCTGTATGTATAACCACTGGCAGGGCTCGGAAAGATAAAATTCACTTCTGTAGTAAGAGGAAAGTATTCTCAACAGGGAGAACACAGCATGTAAGTATAAACAATAAACTCAGTGTGATCGGCCAGGCTCAGCACAGAGACCACGAGAGGCCAGGTTCTTCTCTGAAACGCTGAAAAGAATAGGACAATTTTATCTACGCGCTTAAAAAATAATCTGCTTCAAATTCTGCACAGCTCAGATCTGTCTTCTGAGAACAGAAAAGGCTCTTTTCTGTGCCAAAAGAGTAGGAATATTTGAGTATTTGAAACTCAATAGAAAATGCAGCTAAGATTCTAGGAAATGAAGCAGGAATATCGCAGGATGTCAGAGCAAAAGACAGACTAAAAGGACAAGCTTCCTCTATTTTTAGAAAGTTAAAAAGTCACAGTTCACTGTCACAACAGAAAGAAGACCCAGATCCTGCCTCTACCATTTACTAGGCAATATGAACGCTTAACCTTTCTAAGCCTCAGTTATGTGGTAGGTAAAATGGATCAATATACCTGCCCTACCTTCTTCCTTCTAAGGTTGTCACAAGAGCCAGATGAGAAACTTAAGTCAACTCACATTCTAAACCATAAGGTGCCCAACAAATGAGATAGAATTCTTATTAGAATGGAATCAGAGCGGCAACAGATATTAGTTTATCTGGTATAAGGCATTGTGCTAAATAAAAGATATGGGGGAGAGAAAAAAGTAAAAGATATAGTTCCTGTTTTCAAAGTGCTCGCAATTTAAAAGGAAGATAAAATACCAAAAGATAACTAGAATACTAGCATTTTCTGCTTGTAAAAAAGTTGTATAGACATTAAATTCTCTAGAACAGGAATCTGCAAACTAAGGCCCGTGGACCAAATTTGGTCTACTTCTGTTTTTATAAATAACCTGGAACACAGCCACAAGCATTCATTTACGTATTGTCTACAGCTGCTTTTGAGTTATGACAGAATTAAGTAGTTGCAACAGAAACCATATGGCCCCAACCCTAAAATATTTACTATCTGGCCCTTTACACAAAAAGTTCACCAGCCCCTGCTCTAGAAGTTCAGAAAAGAAAAACGCCACTTTAAGGTTCACTTATGTCTTCTAGTATTCTACTTTTTAATCAATACCAACATACTGTTGGATTATGTGCTATCTAGATAACAGAATTCAACACTTTCAAACCATACAGCCAAAACACAGCATACTACTTCAGTCTTTAGGTTTCATTTCATACCCCTTTCCTAACTTTTATCTATAATCTTTTACATGTTTTCTCTGTGTGGTATTCAGAAGCTCCTAATGGCTGCTTCCAGAGAACCATGGAAAAAACATGACCCATCAATATGTTGACTACAAGAGACACACCTTAGGCACAAAAACATAAATAAGTTAAAAATCAAAGGATGGAAAAAATATGTCATGCAAACAGTAATCAAAAAACAGCAGGAGTGGTAATATTAATCTCTGATAAAACAGACTTTAAATCAAAATCCAACATAAGAGACATGGAAGGATATCCTATAATGATTAAAGGAACAATCCAACAAGAAGACATAACCATGATAAATATCTACACACCCAATGACAGAGCTCTAAAATACAAAAAACAAACTCTAACAGCACTGAAAAGAGAAACTGACAGTTCCACAACAATAGTAGGAGACTTTAACACCCTACTTTCAATGAAGGAGAGAATAGAAGGAAACTAAACAAAGATACAGAAGATCTGAATAACAAAATTAACCAACTTGACCTCACAGACAGATACAGAACATTCCACCCAACAGCAGCACAGTATACATTCTTCTCCAACATACATGGATCATTCTTCAGAATAGATCATATTTTAGCCCACAAAGCAAGCCTCAAGAAATTCAAAAACATCAAAATAATACAAAGCATCTTCTCTGACCACAACGCTATAAAACCAGAAATTAGTAACAGGAAGAACAAGGGAAAAAAATCAAATGCATGGAAACTGAATAACACCCTGCTGAAAAACCACTAGGTAGTAGAAGAAATTAAAAATGAAATTAAAAAATTCTAGAATCAAATGGGAAAGAAAACACAACATACCAAAATCTGTGGGACACAGCAAAAGCAGTGCTTAGAGAATTCATAGCAATAAACACACATATCAAAAAAGGACCAAAATCAGTATCTTAACCCTACAACTCAAACAAATAGAAAAAGAGCAACAAAAGAAAAAAGGAAATAACAAAGATGAGAGCAGAAATAAATGAAACAGACAACAGAAAAACAAGAGAAAGAATCAAGAAGATTAGAAGTTGGTTCTTTGAGAAGATCAGCAGACAAACTACTGGCCAAACAGACAAAGGAAAAGAATGAAAAGATGCAAACAACAAAATAACAAACGAGATGGGCAACATTACAGCAAACCAACTGAAATAAAAAGGATCATAACAGAATACTATGAAAAACTGTACTCCAACAAATTTGAAAACCTAGAAGAAATGGAAAGATTTCTAGAAACACACTACCTACCTAAATCAACACAAACTGAAGTAGAAAATTTAAACAGCCCCATAACAAAAAGAAGAAATTAAAGAGATGATTTAAAAACAAAACAAAAACAACTCCCAACAAAAAAAAAGCCCCTGCCCAGATGGCTTCACTGGAGAATTCTACCAAACATTCAGAGTAGAGTTGACATCAATCCTACTCAAACTATTCCAGAACATAAAAAAGGAAGGAATACTCCCAAATTCATTCTATGAAGCCAGCATAACCCTGATACCAAGACCAGGCAAAGACACCACTAAAAAATAAAATTATAGACTAATATCCCTCATGAACATAGATGCAAAATTCTCAACAAAATCTTAGCCAACAGAATTCAACAGCATATAAAAAAAAAAAATACACCAGACCAAGTGGGATTCATACCATGTATGCAAGGATGGTTTAACATTAGAAAATCAATCAATGTAATTCACAACATAAATAAAACAAAGGAAAAGAATCATATGATCATCTCAATCGATACAGAAAAGGCATCTGATAAAGTCCTACACCCATTCTTGATAAAAATTCTCAGCAAAATAGGAATAGAAGGGAAACATAATTTGGGGCATATATACAAAATCATCTGCCAACACTATTCTCGACAGAGAGAGACAGAAAGCATTGCCCTTGAGAACCAGAACTAGATAAGGATGCCCTTTATCATCATTTTTACTCAGTATTGTACTGGAAGTCCTAGCTGAGCAATAAGGCAAGATAGGGAAATAAGTGGCATCCAAATTGGTAAGGAAGAAGTAAAACTATCCCTATTTGCCGATGACATGATCCTAAACATAGAAAACTCCAGAAGCTCTACAAGAAAGCTACTGGAACTAATAGAAGGATTTAGCAAAGTGGTGCAGTACAAGATTAATATACAAAAATCAGTCAGATTCCTTTATGCTAACCAGAAGAACTCCGAAAAGGAAATAAGGAAAACAATACCATTTAAAAGAGCCCCTAAAGATAAAATACTTGAGAATAAACCTAATTAGGGATGTAAAAGACTTATACAAAGAAAAATACAAAACACTACTACAAGAAACCAAAAGAGACCTGTATAAATGGAAAAACATACTATGCTCATGGATAGGAAGACTTAACACTGTGAAAATGATAATACTATCCAAAGCGATCTACAGATCTCTATCCAAATTCCAATAACATTCTTTAACGAGATGGGAAAAACTAATCACCAACTTTATATGGAAAGGAAAGAGGCCCCAGATAAGTGAAGCATTACTAAAGAAGAAGAAGGAGGAGGCTTCACACTCCCCAATCTCAGATACTACTATACAGCCACGGTAGTTAAAACAGCCTGGTACTGGTACAGCAGCCTGGTACTGGTACAACAACAAACATACAGACCAAGGGAACAGAATTGAGAACCTAGAAATAAATCTATACACCATATGGACAGTTAATCTTCAACAAAGGGTTGTAATCCATTAAATGGGGAAGAGATAGTCTCTTTAACAAATAGTGCTGGCAAAACTGAATATCCATTTGCAGAAAAATGAAACAGTATCCATACCTCACACTATACACAAAAACTAACTCAAGATGGATCAAAGACCTAAATGTAAAATCTACAACCATAAAGATCATAGGAAAAAAATAGGGGCAAACCTAAGAGCCCTAATTTATGGCATAAATAAACTATCAAACATAACTAAAAAAGCACTAACAGTAGAAGATAAACCAGACAACTGGGACCTCCTGAAAATCAAATACTTATGCACATGAAAAGACTTTTCCAAAAGAGAACCTACAGATGGGGAAAAAAAATTTGGCTATGACATATCTGACCAGGTTCTAATCTCTAAAATTTGCAGAAAACTCTAACAACTCAACAACAAAAAGACAACCTAATTAAAAAATGAGCAAAGGACATGAACAGACACTTCACCAAAGAAGACATCCAAGCAGCCAACAAACACACGAAGAGAGGCTCGCTATCATAGCCATTAAAACCAAAAACCGAACTGTTGCCATGGAGTCGATTCCAACTCAGAGTGACCCTATAGGATACAGCAGAACTGCCCCCATGGGGTTTCCAAGGAGTGCCTGGTGAATTTGAACTGCCGACCTTTTGGTTAGCAGCCGTAGCTCTTAACCACTACAGAGATGCAAATCAAAACTACAATGAGATACCATCTGTCAACTAAACAGTCCTTCATGATAGAGACCATATAGTATACTTCCTTGTATTGCCCACCTACAATGACATATCAGTGCTAGGGATAATTTACTTACTACATTTTTAACTAATCAAATTAAATACTGTACATAAAAGGCATTAACAGTAATGCATTATACAAAAAACCATAAGGTACTATTATTATTTTAACAGTTCCTTCCCAAGACTCTTCTCCAGACCTAACGGACACCAAGAATCCTCAAAGGTATTGCATCTAACTCTGTAATGACCAGTGTTCTGCCCTGTGCTATATACAACTTTGGTTCTGGACCAGCCCAGCCTCAGTCAGGCCTATCACAAAGCTGTTTCTCTAAGAAGAGAGTAGAGGTAAGCCAAGTATGATATCTCTCACTCTGACAATGTGTGATAGGATAATTGGCTTGGGATTAGGGTTTTATTACCTTAGATCACTTCACCAACTGTTAGGAGGGTCTGTGGAGAAAGAGAGGTGAACCATCTATATGCATTTTTTCATCTAATGCTCAACAATCTTCGGTGTTAGAACCATTCTGACAAGGCTGTCTTCATGTGCGGACACTGACATTTATACGTGTTTTACAACCCTATAAAACAAACTTTTAAACGTTCAGCTTTTCTTCATTACAAACTAATGTGTGCAACTTGTACAAGGCAACGTCATGGAAGCTCCATGGACACATCCAAACCCCCTGAGGGACTGAATTGCTGGGCGGAGGGCTGTGGGGACCATGGTCTTGGGGAATATCTAGCTCAACTGGCATAACACAGTTTATAACAAAAATGTTTGACATTCTACCTTGGTGAGTAGCATCTGGGGTCTTAAAAGCCTGTGAGCAGCCATCTAAGATACTCCACTGGTCTCACCCCTTCGGGAGCAAGGGAGAATGAAGAAAACAAGACACAAGGGAAAAATTAGTCTAAAGGACTAACGGACCACAACTACCACAGCCCCACCAGACTGAGTCCAGTACAATGAGATGGTGCCCGGCTACCACCACTGACTGCTCTGACAGGGATCACAATAGAGGGTCCTGGACAGAGCTGGAGAAAAATGTAGAACAAAATTCTAACTCACAAAAAAAAGAACAGACTTACTGGCCTGACAGAGACTGGAGAAACTCCAAGAGTATGGCCCCTGGACACACTCTTAGTTCAGTAATGAAGTCACTCCCGAGGTTCACCCTTCAGCCAAAGATCAGACAGGCCCATAAAACAAAACGAGAGTAATAGGGCACAAAAGCCCAGGACGAGGACTAGAAGGCAGGAGGGGACAGGAAAGCTGGTAATAGGGAACTCAAGGTTGGAAGGGGCGAGTGTTAACGAGTCGTGGGGTTGTTAACCAATGTCATAAAATAATATGTGTACTAACTGTCTGATGAGAAGCTATTTGTTCTGTGGACCTTCATCTACAGTACAATAAAAAAAAAAAATCTAAATAAATAATGTGTGCAACAGACAACCCTAAACTCATCCCTAAACCCTTCTCTAAGCCTCACCAAAATCCTGATCCTAGGCTTCAGAGATGGGATGGAGTATATGTCGCTTAATTTTAAAAAGTTGGAACGTCTGATGTTTTGGTTTTTTAAGTCATGTCAAAAACCAGCTGCTTCAAGATTTAAAGCAACTCACTTTATAGGAAAAACAAAAACAAAAACTGAGGTTCAAAGATGTAAGAAATTGCCGAGACTATGCCCTCCCCACCCCCCGACACCCTGCTAACTCAGAACTGAAGCCACTCCCAAAGT